GACAACAGCAGGCTCATAAACATTTTAACTGATAAATTATATCAAACATTTAAAGCAGAAAAAAGAAGGAACACTTCTCTCATTTTAGGAAATCAACTTTGTGCTAATACTAAAACCGGATAAAGATAATAGAAGAAAAAAGTATGAACATAGAAATTTGTTTAACAAAATAAACTCTTAGAAGTCAGATCTGGCAGTATGCAGAAAGTGGTTTTATTATAGGGATGGCAGTGTTGGTTCAGCATTGGAAGATCCACCCCTGAAAGTCATCATTTTAACAGAGAAAAGGAAAAATCCGTATGATCCTGCCACTAGTTGGAGAGGAAGTATTGGACTAAATTCTACAGCTGTTCATGGTAAAAATCTATCAGGAGACTGGAAGTAGAACAGAACCTTCTCAACAGATCAAAGACATGTACTCCATACTTCCAGCAAGAACTCCTCCTCTGAATGGAGACGATAACAATGCTTTCTCCCTAAAGTGGGGAACAAGGGCATACATGCCTACTCTTCATCTGTATGAACTTTGCTTTTAAGGAAAAAGTGCTTAAGTGATGATATTAAGTGTTTGATCACTTGCTTGTATTATGTATTTTAGCAGACTAATATTTACTTGTGTTTTTAAATAAGTATAATAATCACATATATAAACACTGTATTTAGGAAAGAATATTTTTTCTTTTTCAGGGTAACCCAAATCTGGAATCATGAAAATTTTGTTGGTGTTTGACTTTGATAATACAATCATAGATGACAATAGTGATACCTGGATTGTACAGTGTGCTCCAGACAAAAAGCTTCCTATTGAACTACAAGAGTCTTATCAAAAAGGATTTTGGACAGAATTTATGGGCAGAGTCTTTAAGTATTTAGGAGATGAAGGTGTAAGAGAAGATGAGATGAGAAGAGCAATGACGTCAATGCCTTTCACTCCAGGGATGGCAGAACTTTTCAACTTCATAAGAAAGAATAAGAAGACATTTGACTGCATCATTATTTCAGATTCAAATTCAATCTTTATAGATTGGATTTTAGAAGCTGCCAATTTTCATGACATGTTTGATAAAGTGTTTACAAATCCTGCAGCTTTTAATAGCAGTGGTCATCTTACTGTGGAAAATTATCATGCTCATTCTTGCAAGAGGTGCCCAAAGAATCTTTGTAAAAATGTTGTTTTGGTAGAATTTGTAGATAAACAGCTACAGCAGGGAGTGAATTATACACGAATTGTTTATATAGGTGATGGTGGAAATGATTTCTGTCCAGTAACCTTTTTAAAGAAGAATGATGTTGCCATGCCACGGAAAGGATATACTTTACAGAAAACACTTTCCAGAATGTCTCAAAATCTTGAGCCTATGGAATCTTCTATTGTAGTTTGGTCTTCAGGTGTTGAAATAATTTCTTATTTACAATTTCTAATAAAGGAATAATATGCCAGTAGTTGAAATATGTAATAGCTAAGATTAGGTTCAGCACTAAAATCACAAATGAAAAATAAAAACAGAAAGAGGAAAGCAAGAAAGGGTTTTACCTCTCACTTCAAAGAATTCCAGAGGTATCTCAAGGCTGCCATGTTGTTCTGTCAACTTCAGCACTTGGCTTCCAACTCACGATTCAAACTGCAGCTCTCATAGCAATATTCTGGCCAGCAAGAAGGAGGGAAGTGAAGTTACAACCCCTTATTTAAGGAAACTTCCCAAAAGTTATGCCTAACACTTCAGTTTTAAAACTGTTAGCCAAGATGTACTCATAATGCTCCACTAATTTCAAGGAAGGATAGAAAGTATAGCTTTCATTCCAAGTGATCACTTGCCCAGGAAATTTTGGAAAAAGAGTATAGAATTAAGGTAGGTACAACTAGTGTTCTATTTTTTTTTTTGGTACCGGGGATCAAACTCGGGTCCTTGCGCTTGTGCAGCAGGCGGCGAAACCACTGAGCTAAGTCCCTAGCCCAACTAGTGTTCTATACTAGAGGTAGTTGATAGGTAGATTATATTTTTTAATTCCTGGAGAGAGTGATCGTATTTTAGTGTTAGTTATTTCAAAAGTATATTCAGTAGTTCCAGATCTTAAAAATAAGCCTGATGCGTGGAGGTGTGGTGGCACATACCTATAATCCCAGCACTCAGGAGGCTGAGGCAGGAGGATTGCCTCGAGATCAAGGCCACCCTGAACTACATAGCAAGACCCTGTCTCCCCCCCCAAAAAAAGGCACTTAACTGTATATAATACCCTCCCAAATAAATGTACTTATTGTTAAGGTTTCATCAATTTAAGCTTTCCTTTTGAAATAAAAGCCAGGCATGGTGGCACACATGTATAATCTCAGCACTCAGGAGGCTGAGGCAGGAGATTGCAGTGTGAGGCCAGCCTGTGCTAGATACTTCAAAGGCAGCCTGAACATACTGAGACCCTGTCTCAGAAAAACAAAAACAAACAACCTATTTGTGAAAAACAAACAGAAACCTATTTGTGAAATGAAAAACAATCTTCAAATGTGTTAGTATCAGGCATTTATCAGTATAATTTCTATTTGGCAATGCAGTCTTGAGCAGTCCAGTATCTAATTTATAGGAATACTCAACATTTAAGAGACTTTCATTAGGATATTAGCAGAATACCAAATAATCTAGAACTTTTTATAAATCTGTGGTGATTTACAAGCTCATTTTTTAGCCATAAATATTCAGTATGTAATAGGATTTTCTTTCCCAAATTATGAAAAGCTCCAAAAATAGAAATATTCAGTATAATTTAATGGGGGAAGTTGATAATTTTTTCTAGGCTGAAAATATTTTGCTTAAATAGGTGAGGCTATGTTGAAGCACATCTACTCATAAATTATCATTTGTCTACATGTTGAAGCTAGTAATAATTATAAATTATAGAACTAGAAAAAAAGTTATTTACAGTAATGATTGCCCAACTAATTTGGACCATGGCTTCTGTTGAGTACGTCTAAAAAATCAAATGGGAACAAAATACTAAAAACATCTGCTTAAAGACATCAGAGAGTGACCACAATGAAGAATTTCTAAGAAAAGAGAAACTTCGGTAGTTGAACTGTTTTCCCCAGAGAATCTGTACATGGTGGCTGAAGTGTTAAGTGGTTATGTTGATAACCTCACAGGACAACGAGAAAGGATCCCAAGTGGCTATCCATTAAAAGTAAGAGTGATGCAGAAATAAAAAGACCTTTCAAGGGTTGGCAGATATTCTCTGTCTCTCAAATTAGATTGAAGTTATCTAAGATTTTCACAGCTTCCAGGTGCCTGGGAGAAGTACATCTCAATCTGCCTCTCAGGAAGGAATCATCCTAGTGGTGGATAGACTAAAGTGACTCCTATGATTCCTGTCTTTTTTATATTCCTTGTTTGTGTGTGAGACCTGTGACTTGCTTCACATCAATAGAGAACTATGAAAATGATGGGACATACATGAATATTTATATATATAAAGATTGTATATATATTACATATAAAATATTTATATAATATATATATTTATATGGCTACATTGAGTTCTAAAGCCCATGTTAATGACTCTCTTGGTACTAAGCAAGCAAGCTGCCATGTTGTGAGCTAGCCTTTTGGAGGGACCACATGGCAAGCAACTGAGGGTGGTCTCTAGCCAACAGTTGTCAAGAAACAGGCCCTTCCTCTTAATAGTCTACAAGGAACTCACTGCTGCCAACAACCATATGATTTTGGAAGAATCCTCCCCAAGTGGAGCCCCAAGTGAGGCCAGTTAATGCCATGATTACAACCTTAAACCATGAAGCAGAGGACCCAACGAAGCTGTGTGTGGACTCCTGACCTATAGAACCTATGAGAGAATTTGTGAGAATACTGTTATACAGCAGTAGGAAACTAATATTCTAGGCTTCAAAATAAATTTTTTTTAGACAGGGTCTTGCTATGTAGTTCAGGCTGGCCTTGAACTCATTATGTAGCCCAGGCTGGCCTCAAACTCATGGCAAGCCTGCCTCTGCCTCCTGAGTGCTGGGAGTATAGGCATGTACCGCCATGCCCAGCTCAAAATCTAAACAGTTTTGCAGAAACATTTAAGTTATAGAATAGAATGTAACTACACAAAGAGATGAGTGAAAACCAGCAGAAACATCCATCTGAACAGATCTGCAGGGCCTCCAGATAATGTGGTTTTCAGAGAAAAGTTAGGAGGATTTTGTGAAGACTTAAAATTATATTAAAAATTAAATGAAACAGTAGAACTGAAAATTACCATGGACTGAAACTGAGATCTTAATGGACAGATTTGACATCAGGACTGGCATAGCTGAAGAAGAAAGTAGGGAATGAACACAAGTTAGAAGAAAATATCCAGAATGATGCAGAGAGGGACAAAACGAATAAATAAGAAAAGTTGAGACATGGAAAATATAGTAAGAATCTGTAACAGGAAATTGGTATCCCAGGGGAGATAATAGAAAATGAAACATAAGCAATGGTTTATGATATAATTACAAAATTTTACAAAAATTGATGTATGGCATTGAACTACAGATTCAAGAACCCTTATAAGCTGGGAAAGGTGGTGCATGCTGTAAACAACATAGGCTGAGGCATGAGGATGGCTCGAGTCCTGGAGTTTGGGGCCAATTTAGGCAACATAGCTGGAAAAAAAGAAGAGAGAGAAGAGGAGGAACAGGAATCATAATGAGCCCAAACAAGGTAAATAAAATGAAAACCAGGGCTGGGGCAGTAGCTCAGTGGTAAAAGTACATGCCCAGCATACATAAGGCCCTGGGTTCAATCTCCAGCACTGAAAAAGAGCATCTGAAATCACTGTTTTCGCCTGTGTCTGTCTTATGACAACATTTGTGATTGCATTTAGGCCCACCTAGATAATCCAAAATGATAAGAAAAATAATTCTAAAATGTCCTGAATTTAATTAGAAGATCCTAGGATGGAGAGGAGGGAAGATTGGAGAGGTTAATAAGTTAGCAACTACCAACCAAAAGCAAAAAACTTTCACATTCTTGAGTACATGTTAAAATCCTAAATCCCTTCATGACCTGTGTGCCTCTGCATCCTACTTACAACCACCATCATTCCACAAGCAATAATTACTTTTTACAGACTCTCCTCCTATCTCCAAGCTTTCCCTACTTTGTGTTACCCCACCTCTCTTTATCTATAGCCAAGGCAGTTTAAATGTAAACAGCTTATGATTTCCTTCCTCAAAAAAAAATTTTTTTGAGACAGGGTCTCATTATGTAGTTCAGGCTGGCCTTGAAATTACTCTGTAGCTCAGGCTGGCTTCAATTTGTGAATATCCTCCTGCCTCCTGCCTCATGTAATCCCACATGCTGGGATTACAGGTATATGCCACCATATGCCTGTTATTTTTGTTATAAAAATCTTAGCTCTAGGTTTAGCAGACATACTTTTCTAAATGCTATCTAGCATGGCTGCTTGAAGTTATGGGAATTTGTCCCAGGACCTTATCCTTTTTCTGGCTAGCTTCACAAACAGCTCAGTAAACCCTTTTACTTCAGAGATCGCTTGGTCCCAAGAGTTTTGGTTTAACAAGGATAATCTCCCCATTTTAAGATTCTTAATCACATCTGCAAGGCCCCATTTTCTTGCAGTGTGGATTTACAAGTTCCAGGGGTTAGAAGCTGATATCTTTGGGGGCTATTGTTTGGCCTACTTTAAAGTAGTAAAGCACTTGGCTCACATTGAATAGTAATCAAAATATTTAGTAACCACCACAGGCTCCAACCAGTAAAATCAGAAACACCAACCAGTAAGCATAGATGGCTGATATAAACACCCATAACAGAGGCTACCTCTGGAAAGCAGCTCAGCACTTGCTGTAGCCAGCACCTCACACACAGATGATGGAATGAATAAGTGCTACTTCACTGGGGCCCAATTTAGCTGTTTCTGTTTCCTCTTTTTAAACGCCAGACCGTGTCTTTGCCCATTTATCTGTAGGGTCTTGTATAATATTCTGGTATCTATTTGAATACTTCATATGTGGAAGATGCTAACTTTGCCAAATTAGTAACAAAGTTGAAAATTTACTCCTTTGCTTCTGAATCTTAGGTAACTTTAGTCTATGCGATAAACTGACAATAGATATCAGAGGAAAAAGAACATACAAATTGTAGTACATAGGTAAAGCATGAGAGCATTAGTCACACAGAGAGCCAAATGACTGAACCTTACATAGATCCTAACAAAGGAATAGGAGCTTGGGCGTGTTTGTTTGTTTGTTTGTTTTGTCTTTTTCATACCAGGGATCGAACTTGGGACCTTGTGCTTGCGAGGCAGGCGGGAACCATTGAGCTAAATCCTGGCGCCTGTTTTTTTTTTTTTTTTTTTAAAGGCGGACTTTTGCTGTGTACTTCAGGCTTGCCTCAAACTCTTTGATACTCCTGCCTCAGCCTCCTGAGGGCTGGGATTACAAACTT